CAAAATATATACAAAATTAAAAAAAATGATTAAATTAAATTAATACTATTTATAAATCAAGTTGAATACAAATTAAATGTAAACAGATGAGGAGTAAAAAAAGAGAAAAGAAGCACGTGGTTAAAGATAAAGAAACATAAATAAACCAATCATCGTTGTCAACACAATATCAACAGTAAAGTTACATGAGTCTATTATTTATTTTTAATCAAACACTCAAAGGCAGCATAACACGTTTACTTTCTTAGACAATGAAGGCATATCAATGGGAAATGCATGGGCATGCGTTCTGGCACTCTCTTGCGCTGATAAATGGCATTAGCGCTGCGTATTCATGATATCAGCACTTTAAATGTAAGAGAGCGTTAAGTCTGGTAGCGATAAGAAGTTGACGGCAAATATTTAATATGCGTAATCGTTGGCTCATGCGATTCTATTAATATGCAAGTATTTGTTTACTGTTGGTCAAAATTTAAACCAAATAGATGATAAATAAGTCATGTTTATATTATGAAGTGATTTTATTATGATCAGCATGTCGATAAAACTAATACAATAATTTTTTTCTAAGTAAATAAATTTCAATTCTTTAATTGTTAAAATAAATATTGGTTTTCAAACTTTTCGGATTCGTAATGTTTTTAAACTTACTGTCAATTGCAAACATTTTTGGAGCCTCATTTAATGATAATCCTGACATTTCAAGTATTCCAATGTTATCATCAATATACAGGTAAAACTAAAAGCTTAAGCTTAATTTATTTTTATTCATTAAGTATATAATAACATTATCAGTAGACAAAATATGTTTATATTAACGTATGAAATATCTTCTTAAACTCGTCCCGCGCTAACCTGATAATTATTAACAGCAGCGAAGAAGTTCAAATTCTGAGATAGAGTAAATTAAAAATCGATTTATCGAATATAAACTACTCATAATGGCTCTGTTAGGGCTATGTTAAAATGTCGTGAATTAGTGCTAGCAGACCGTTGAGTTACTTTACAAACTGTTAATGCTTAAAAGTTATATTGATAAAATAATTTTCTACACGAAAAAATGCTTAAAAGATAATTTAAATGATTGTTGAGATACATTTAAATGTATAGCTCGCTAAAATTCTGAAAATAAATGGCTTACTGTTATTAACACTTTAGGCAAATGTTAAGTTTTTGCTTTTTATAACAGAGTCATTAACGAGCTCGATGAACGACAATCAGTGAGTTGGTTCGCTCATTCAGTTTCAGCGAGTCGTTCGATCGAACTTATTCCATACTCTATTAGTAATAGAAAAGCAATTCAACAAGTCATCGACATGTCCGGTGAAGGAGAAAAAACTTATACGCGTGCCGAAGTTGCCCAACACAATACCAACAAGGATACATGGCTGCTAATTCACAATACTGTTTACGATGTCACAGCATTCCTGAACGAGGTAAGCATAGTCTAGCAATTAACAAACAGCAACAGCACCTCCATTGTACACGTCGGAATGAGGGCGCGGGCGATGGAATTTGATTTCCCCTGGTGTGAATAGTTGCTGTGGGAGGGGGGACAAGTTGTCTTATCATCATTACTTGGGTTTTATAACTCGTCTTAGCAGTGTTATTAGTCCGTATATATGTATATGTTTCCACTTATTGCGTTTGAGAATATGAGAATGTTACCCGTAAAACACGAGTAGCCACTTGCCCCTGTACTTTGACCTACGATCTATGAATGAATGAATGACCTACTCATGYTCACAGCTACATTGAACTTGTGAAGATATTGTGTTTGTTGTTTTTTCGAAACGTTTATGTTTGTATTCATATTTATTGCATTTTTTTTTTCGTGCCAGCGCGCAGTTTCAAATCTTATTCTTATTCATTATCAATGGAAATGGGGCAAAAGTTAAGCAAAATCTGTTCAAACGAAAATTTACATTTCATTTTATTTACGAAACAGAGACACTAGTTTGTATTTAAGTACTCAGCCGTATATGGAAGGAAATTAGAAAACCAATGTGAAGCGAAAGTCACAAAAATGTGTGTATATATACATATATACATATATATAATGAACAATTCAGATCAGCTTTGAATTTCTAAAGTCAATCAACTAGAAAAACCTAAATTAGTGTAAAAATCGACATATATGATTCAGTTAGTGTAACAAAAAAAAAATAAATGTACATATATACTTGCATAGATTTGTAATATTCAATATATATATAATATTTAAATAAATAAATTCTTTGTTGCTGATATATACATTATATAATAATATATAATAATTGGTAGATTTCCATTTGAAAAATATCAACAATAATCAATCGTAATTTTTCTTATATATATCAGATAGGACTATATAAATTAAATACATATATTCATTATTATATATTAGTATCCGTTTAAAATCCTTATACAAGTGAGTAGATGCTAGTCACTATGACCGTTTGGTTTTCTGTTCTGCTGGTGATAAGAAGACCCAGCACTTAAATCATTTCTGTGTTATAATGATTACGCTGCAGTTTGTGCTGTGAGGTAATTAAAGTTTGTGAATGATGAAAGTAGAACCTTGCCTTGCATTAAAAACCTTTCGACGTTTATTCACACTGTTTAAAAATAAACACGCTGTATCCGACTGCCGTGGGTCGAGCGCATTTGATGCGGGCGCTTGATGTTTTAAACATTGAGCAGGGATTCACGGTCAGCGTAGAAGACGACAGCAAATCATTTGCATAGTTTGGCATATGAAAAGAGCGTGCTTAATATTCGTTATTCGTTTGCTTTCTTTCAGCATCCCGGCGGTGAAGAGGTGCTGATCGAGCAGGCGGGCAAAGATGCCACCGAGAACTTTGAGGATGTTGGCCACAGCCACGACGCGCGCGACATGATGAAGAAGTACAAAATCGGCGAACTGGTTGCCCACGAGCGCACGAAAGTTGCCCAGAAATCGGAACCCACCTGGAGCACAGACACACAGAACGAGGAGAGTTCGTTGAAATCGTGGATAGTGCCACTGGTTCTCTGTCTGGTTGCTACGTTCTTTTACAAATTCTACTTTGGCAATGCTAAGCAGCAATAAAGTCAATAAATAATTCCCACTCGCCTCAATGCTGCACCACTTGACGCCTCCACACAGTGAGAGAGAGAGAGGGAGAGGGGAAGAGAGAGACACACATGTAAAGAGTTGATTTCCAGATACCCTGCCTTTAAATACTAATACTGATGTGTCTCATACACTTGCCGGAGGCGTTTCGCTGCGCGCTTGCCATTGTCGCTGGCGGAATTAGTAGAGAGAATTTGTGCTAAGTTTAAAAGTTAAAAAAATGTGCATGTTTTGGCATCTTGTTTTTGTACTAATTGCTATAGTAAGTGGGTTTGAGTTTTCTTATGAGCTAGATAATTGTTTAACTTTCCAACACGCAACAGAAATATACACAAACATATATTTAAATAGACTATTAAATATGAATGTATTCGAAATTGCTTTGTTTGTTCTTTTGTCAAAACAAAATTAATTTTCGAACTCTTTCTTTTTTTGTATCACAACTAATGTTACCATGTCGAAATTTATTCACGTAGCTGTCCTGGCCGGCAGCTCAATGTTTGCACTCTCTGCTGCCGGAGCTACTCAGGATCGAAGCAAGGCGCCCCAGATGAAACGTGAGCTGCCCACACGCAGCATGAATTTAGATGCGTTGCGTCGCACCGAGTACGATGTTCTGATCATTGGCGGTGGAGCGGTAGGCGCTGGATGTGCTCTAGATGCAGCTACACGTGGATTGAAGACTGCCCTGGTTGAGGCCGATGATTTCGGTAGTGGCACCTCGTCGAAATCCAGTAAATTACTGCACGGCGGCCTGCGAGATTTGGACCATGCAATCACACATCTCGACTTGGCCGCCTTTCGGCGTGTTCACTCATCACTGCAGGAGCGCAGAAACATTACCAATCTGGCGCCGCACCTCAATCAGTCGGTGCCAATTATGCTGCCCGTACACAATTGGTGGCAGCTGCCCGTGTATTGGATGAAACTGCGTCTCTATCACTTAATGGCACCGGGCACATCGAAAGGATTCACATACATCAATAGCCGGAAGGCCCTCGAAATGTTTCCGATGATGCGCCGTGACATGGTTGGCGCCTTCGTCTTTTACGAGGGCCAGCACGACGACGCTCGGATGTGTCTCGCAATCATTTTGACCGCCTCCCGCTATGGCGCCGACGTCTGCAACCACATGAAGGTGGTCGATCTGCTGCGGGACAAGAACAAAACTGTAATTGGAGCCAAAGCTATCGATCAGCTGACCGGCAGAGCTTACAAGATTCGCGCCAAAATGGTCATCAATGCAACTGGCCCCATGAGTGATTCTATTATCCGCCTGGAGGATGCTAGTGCGTCGCAGCAGTGTACGCCCACCTGGGCCTCGCACATTGTGCTGCCGCCCTTTTACTGTCCCGAAGAGGTAGGGCTCTTCGATCCGTACACGGACAACGGTTCGACAATATTCTTTTTACCCTGGTTGGGGCATACGCTAATGGGCACCTCGGATGACACACGCGAGGCCGCCCAGGGGCAACAGCCAACAGAGATGGAGGTTCAGTATCTCTTGGATAGCATCAGAAACTACATCAATCCAAATTTTGATGTACGCCGCTGCGACGTGCTCGCAGCTTGGGGCGGTTATAAGCCGCTTCCCACTCAGTCGACAGAGCTGGCCCATTCGGCGCTCAAGAACCATGTGATTTCCATAGGGCCCGGTAACATGGTGTCAATCGTAGGCGGCACATGGACATCGTTCCGGCTGATAGCAGAGAAGGCCATAGACGCTGCCATTATCAATGGTGGACTGCAGCCGTTGCGCAAACATTCGATTACGGCGACCTCATGCAAGTTGGACGGCGCCATTGGCTGGTCACCAAACATGTTTATACGACTGGTGCAGGATTTCGGTCTGGAGCGGGATGTGGCCAAGCACTTGTCCGACACATACGGCTCGAATGCGTTCAAGGTGGCCGTTGGCGCCAACGCCAGTGGCAGCGTGTGGCCCATTATAGGTAAACGATTGCACTCCGAATTTCCGTATATTGAGGCGGAGGTGCGACAGGGGGTTAGGGACTATGCCTGCACCCTGGTCGACATGGTGGCACGTCGGCTGCGTGTCGCGTTTCTTAATGTCCAGGCGGCCGAGGATATTTTGCCGCGCGTGGCCAGCGAAATGGCGCGCGAGCTGAAATGGAGCCGAGCAAGACGATTGAGAGAAATCAAAGAAGCGCAAGAATTTCTAAATACACAAATGGGAAATACAACCGAATTCGATCCAATTCATATGAATATACCCATTAAGCTGTCTGTGGATCAGGTGCAAAAGTATGCCGAGCATTTCAGAAATCTCGACGAGGCTAATACGGGCTTCGTGTCGATAAACAAATGCTGTGCGGCCATGAAGTCGTTCGGTGTTAAAGAGGTGCCGGTGGACCTGATGCACGACGTGCTGCGGGACATTGACTGTCACTCCCAGGGCAAGGTGAATCTCTACGAATTCCTGATGCTCATGTCGGCCATTGTGCACGGAGACACGGCATATTTACGTTATGCCAAGATGCATTTAGACCAGAAAATTTCGGCAATAAGCCGCCGGCGGCGCAAGCAAAGCGAATGTACGGTCGAGCGATCCGGAGGCGGCTTGTGAAGATCGAATTAATCAATCTCGTACAAAACTCTTAGTGTATTTAAATTATTCTGTACTGTCTCATACTATTTATATTTATTTGGTAGTGCTACCATATCGTAGCAAACAGAACTCAGTAGTGTTGCCACACTTTAGCTAGGCAACTCAGCTCATTCGAGTCGTTCGCGTTCAAAAGTATAACGGAAATTAACGAGCAGTAACAGTAGAATATAATGCGAAAGTAATTAAATATGGAAATGCATTTTTTAAATTTGTATTTGAGTTGTAAAGTTGAATATCGACGTTGTTTAGACAAAACTCGTATATGCCCTATGGAGCTTGTGTGTATATATATAATAGTTATATGTATTTGTAACATTTGTATATATATTTGTATTTTTGCAACAATGACGATAGCATACTAATAGTGTGTTTCAATACATTTAATTTGTGTGAGTAAATGTTGCCAGGTAAAACATTTAACGGGTATTTGTTGATGCTGTTATTGATGTATTTATGTAATACACATGCAAAGGTGAAAGCAATAGTAAACAATTTTATGTATAGATTATGTATGTGCTATAAATATATATTCAAAGTGAGAAAAAACGAAACATAAACTAAAATAAATAAGAAATAAGTGAATAAGGAAAATTTTACAAAGTAGAGTTATGAAGAAAATTATAAATAATTATTGTGGTGGCATATTTGATACGGATATATGTATATATATAGATAGGTATATACATGTGCGTATGTATGTATACATTAGAAATAAACTTAGTTGACATGGATTTTTTCGGAGTGCACACTTTCACTCTAGGGTATGGTTAGTTTGGCTAAATATCAGTAAATATTAGCTGTTTAAACTTTGACCTGAGCTGAGAGACATGTTTATCGTATAAATATGTCAAAAATGTTTACTATATAAATGAAACAATAATAGAAAACCCAAAATTTACAACGTTCAAGTTTGTTGCAACTGTCAGAATAGAAATAAACATTAAGATTGATTCTACGATGTTTTCTATGTGCACTGGGCATGATAAGTGTTTGTTGTTTTCTTCTTCAGCTGTCTAAGCGACGGCATCTGTGGCGCACTCCTCCTCGACGGTGATGTACATGCCCTCCTCCTCGTAGGCCGAGTCGTGCTTAGCCAGAATTCTCAGCAATGGACGCAGGCGCAGCCACCACTGCTTCTTCGGTATGCGTTGACTGTGGAGGATGAGGAAAATAATCAGATCAATTCTGTATAGAGATTACTATTGTGGCACTCACTCAAAGTTGGTGTCGGCAATGAGATCGACCAGGGGCGTGAATCGATACTGCCGCGAGACGATGCCCAGCAGTGTTGCTGTGTCGGTCGATTTGCAGTTGACGACGCCATTGCTGTCGATGTTGTTCTTGATCTGTGTGGCCAGCCAGTCGACGCACTTGGCGGCCATTTTGGTGCCCATGTTGCGATCGAATGGACTGGGAGAGCCACCCTGTTGCATGTGGCCCAAGATGTTCATGCGGCAGGTGAACAGACCCTTGCCCTCCTCTGAATACAGGCGATAGATGAAGTCAGTGGTGTAGTTCTCACTGGCCTTCTCATTGCGCAAGATGAGGCCGCGAGACACGCCCTCGGCCATTTTGGATGCCATGTGATAGACATCCTGTTGCAGATCCTTAATGGAGAACTTCTCCTCATATATATACGCGGCATCCGCACCACCAGCCAGGCCAGCCAACGTGGCCAAATAGCCGCTATAGCCACCCATGGTCTCAATGACAAACACACGACGCTTGGTGCCCTGGGCCGACTGGCGAATGCGATCGCAGATTTCGGTGATCTCATTCAAGCCGGTATCGCAGCCGAGCGAGAATTCGGTGCCTGGCACATTGTTCGAAATGGTAGCCGGCACAACCACAATGGGTATGCAAAACTCTGGATAGTTGTCGCGCTGATCGGAGATTTGGCCAGCGGCGTGGTAGCTCTCAAAGCCACCGATGATCAGCAGACCTTGGATCTTGAACTCCTTGAGGCGAGCGGCGATCTCCTTGAACTTGCCCTCGGGCAGAGTACGCTTGGTGCCGAGGTAAGCACCACCCTGACCCACCCAGCCAGAGACATCAGACCTGTGCAGTGGAGTCAATTATTGAATATTTTTAACTACATCTTTACTTCTCTTACTCACCAGCCCAGCTCGCGCACATTGCCAGCAATGAGGCCCTCAACGCCATCGTTGATGCCATAGACAACATCGCCACGATAAATGGCATTGCGCACAAAGCTGCGCACGGCCGCATTCATGCCGCAGGCCGGCGCACCAATGTGCATCACAGCCAGCCTGTAGCCCTCGATGCCCTTGCCCTGCTCGTCGAAGTTCTCTTTGGGCGGCTTCAAGCGCGTCAACATCTTGTAGGTCTCCAGGTTGCGTTCAAAGGAACGACCGCGCAGCTTCACAGCATCGGCCCAGCGACGCTCCGCCATGGCCTTAGCTACAGCCTGGGTGCGCTCCACACACTCCATAAGAGGCACACGAACCGTCTGGTTGCCGTCCAGCGAGATGACCACCGGCACTGACTCCGGCGTGGCTTCCATCAGAGCCAATGTGGCCTCGGCGCCCATGCGACAAGCCTATTTACATGATGAACATTTAAAATTCAATTATCGATCATTTCTATGGGAGTTATTTAAAATATAAATAATGAACAAGTAAAAGTAAATTATGGATGGGCCCCAGCACCCATACGTCCAAATGTAAATATAAATAATCGATCGAAAGAAGTCAAAAATAAATTATCGATAACTTATATCGATTTTTTAATATGGCCTCGAATACAGAGTATTTCTGTCTGGCATTTTAAAACACTTTCTAGCTATCTACTCTACACTTAAGTCTCAGTTTAATTATAGACAACTGCAATTGCTTACCAAGACACGATCGAAGGCGCTGGGATTGCCACCGCGCTGCACGTGACCCAAGACAGTGATACGAGCGTCGTGTTTGAGACGCTCGTCGATCACCTTGCGCACCTGCTCGGCGGTAATTGGATTGCCCTCCCGATCACTGGCTCCCTCGGCCACAATGACGATGTTCAGACGCTGACCAGCCGAACGCTCCTGTTTGAGAACGAAAGCAAGAGACGTTAGACATTGCACCGTTCTAAGCGATTCTCAAAAAATGAGCGGGTTAGTAACTTGAGTGTGTACATAGAAGCAATGAAGAACTTCAAAATATATACAAAGTGCTACGTAAATATGATAATGATAATGATAATGATCTAAGAAATAATGTATGTACATGTATATATGTTGCTATGTAAATAAGTGACGACAACTGTGAGGTTATAAACAAAATTAAACTATGATAAATACAGGTGAGACAGAGAAAGAGAGAGAGAGAGAGAGAATGTTTGTGTTTTTTTGTTTGTTTGTATATGTGTAGCTTAAACAATGAATTTGAAAGGAAACACAATAAAAGTAAATCAACAAATAATCCATAAATATATACATAGATATTTACTAATCAAGCTAAGATACAGTAAAAATAAACGTAAGCGAAGGCGTAATAGAAGCCAATTAAATTGTCCAGCAAAAAGAAAATAAGTGTATTTGTTTATGTATGTGTGTGTGGCTACACTTTAACCCAATAAAAATCAATTAAATAGCCAATCAATTAGTAGTTTCTAGAATCAGTTTTTGACAAAAAGCTGCTTGCTCTTTGAAACGTCTGTTAGAAATGTTAGAAAGAGTTGTAGTTAAATTAAAGTTTCTTTTAATATCTATGTATGTATATACAATTTGAATAATTTAGTAGTAAACCGAAAAACAAAACACCATCGCATAGACTTATATTGAATTTGACTGGAAAAGGTAAACCCTTTCGCAGTGGGCTGACCTGAGCTAACTTTTTGCACAGATCATCCTGCCAGTTAGTTGGTGCGGGCTCTTCGGGTATGAACATAAAATCAGCCTCTGTGGCAATGGCGGCTGAAATTGCCAAATAGCTAAAAACGAAAATAAATCAAACACACCGAAGAAAGACACGATGCGCACAGGTGAATGAATTGTTAATTGATTGTTCATTAATTACAATATGCTTAGGATACGGATAGACAAGGATTGGGTGGGTGGGTAGCTTGGTTTAACTCGGGCTTATCATATATCCAGTTTTGGAATCGAATATTTATATAAAATAAAGGAATAAATATATATACAACAGAATTTATAACTTGATGCATGATATATGTATATATATAATATCTGAATAATTCCTGCTCGCAAGTGTGTGTGTCTGTGTCTATGTGTCTGTGTTTGTGTGTGTGGGTGGGTGAAATGCAATGTTTCTATGTTTTGCTGCTGTTGTCTATTGCAACAACGAAAAGCAGATGAGGCGCGAGAGATAGAGAAATAGAGAAAGAGCAAACACATTGTGAGAAATATTGTGTTTGGTAGCTTTTGTTTTTTTTTTTTTTTTTTTTTTTTTTTTTTTTTAATAAAATATCACTTCTTGCCTGGGCCAACTGAGTGCAAAGCCTATCTGGCCAATCGACTTTCGGCGGCATTTCGGGTATAAATATGAAATCGGCCTCGCAGGCCAGGCCACCAACGAGCGCTAAATAACTGTAAAAATATATGTGTGTTTGTATTATTTGGTTATACATATATGCCATACAAATATACATATATATACTATATAGTATATATATTGGGAAAATCAAAAGGAGAGAGTCAACAAAGGGCTGGGAGAAAGAGAGCGACAAATTAGGAAACATTACGAAATGAGTATCAATTCAATGTAAGATAAAAGAGCTGAGGAGAAGAGGAATAATAATTATAACTTCATATAGTTTCAAAAGATTTCATCATCACTATCTACTATCATACATAATAAATAAATAAGACATATTCATTTTAATTAGCCCTAAAATCTGCCTAAATTAATATAATAATTATTATCAATAATATCGTTCATATATATAACTAGAACTATTGTCATATCTGATATATATACAAGCTCATTCTAGTTATTCCACCATTCCCTTAATTATTAACCTAACACTTAGACTTATCCATCTCATTACACAAAATTTGAACAAGTAAACGAAAGAGAACACAGAACGATTTGGGTCTGATAGAGATATATATATTGTATATATGGAGAGAAAGAGAGTTTTCGTATGCGGGACATTCAACAATCGAGAGCTGATGGCTGATGGCTGATTGCTTGCCTGGTCCAGTTTGAGGGTCAGTCTATCGGGCCAATCTTGTGGCGGCGGGTACTCGGGCAGAAAGACGTAGTCTGCCTCGGATATAACGCCGGCGACAACTGGTAAATAACTATAAGTAGTGAAGGCATTTAGCATTTGGAATTTGACACTTGGCAGAGCTAACACTTTATACGTAACTAGTTACACATCACAGACAGGCTAACTAACTCAATTTAGATTCATTGATAACAAATGGCTTACCCGCAATGACGACCCATGACCTCCATGATGAAGGTGCGCTGATGCGAGTAGGCAGTGCTAGCAATGGCATCGATGGCCTCAATGATGCGGTGCAAGGCCGTATCCGTGCCAATGGTCATGTCCGTGCCGCAGAAATCGTTATCAATCGAACCCACCTGGAAGGGTAAATAAATAGTGAGTAAGAGTGAGAGAGAGAGAGAGAGAGACAGAGAGGAAGACTTACCAATCCAACAATATGCAGAACATTGTACTTGTTCTTCTGCTCAGGGGTAATGCTCTTATTCTTCTCCAGCTCATCCAGCAGGCTGGACCACTCCTGACGGAACAGGTTGGCGCCAGTCAGCGAGCCATCACCGCCAATTACCACCAGATTGGTAATGCCGCGTTGCACCAAGTTATTGGCAGCCTTTAGACGGCCAGCACGCTCACGGAAGTCCTTGCAACGAGCGGAGCCAATGATGGTACCGCCACGATGTATGATTGATGACACCGACGACCAAGATGCTTCCTGGATGCAATCGCCGCCATCCACCATGCCCTGATAGCCTTCACGAATGAAGTACACCTGAAGTCACAAATTATTGAAAAATGGTATTAAATTCTGCTTCAATAAATTTCTTTTGAAGTAAATATGAATCATTTATAAATCATAAAATATGAAATTCCAAGAATTTTTACTATTGTATTTCAAAATATTGATTTTTTTTTGCGTCATTCTTGATTTGACTAGACTTTCCAAAATCTTTATAATATATAT